AACAGAAACATTCATCTATAAAATAATAATTTAACAGAAACATTCATGTATAAAATAATAATTGAACAGAAACATTCATCTATAAAATAATAATTTAACAGAAACATTCATCTATAAAATAATAATTAACAGAAACATTCATATATAAAATAATAATTTAACAGAAACATTCATCTATAAAATAATAATTAACAGAAACATCCATGTATAAAATAATAATTGAACAGAAACATTCATCTATAAAATAATAATTTAACAGAAACATCCATGTATAAAATAATAATTTAACAGAAACATTCATGTATAAAATAATAATTGAACAGAAACATTCATCTATAAAATAATAATTAACAGAAACATTCATGTATAAAATAATAATTGAACATTATTTATCTGAGGAGCAGCTTTGAGTTTAACTCCATCACTGAACTCTCATCTTGAACAAGCATGAAGGCGACAGTGGAAAGAAAAACTCCCTCATGAGGAAGAATCCTTTAGCAGAACCAGGATCAGGACAAGAGGACCATCTGCTTCGACCGGCTGGGTTTCGTAGGAATAGATACACAATGGCAGGTCAAGAATCACATGTTAAGATAGAAATAGTATCAAATGAAAACTATTCAGTTTTAACAATTCATTTAAGGAAATGAGGTCAATTTGTCCTCCAGTAGTCTAAGTCTATAGCAGCATAACAAGCTGACCCTAACTATAGGATTTATCAACAAGGAAAGTCTTCAAACTGGACAATGTGTCAGTCTCATGGACAGAAACTGGAAGTTGGTTCCACAAGAGAGGAGCCTGAGAACTGAAAGATCTTCCTCCCATTCTGTTTTTGGAAACTCTAGGAACCACAAGTAAACCTGCAGTCTGAGAGTGAAGTGCTCTGTTAGTAAAATATGGAACAATAAGATCTGTAATATAAGATGGAGCTAGGTTGTTGAGAGCTTTGTAGGTTAGAAGTAAGATTTTGAATTCAGTTCTGGACTTGACAGGCATTTTGGAGACGCACTGCATCCTCTCCCCTCCCCTCTTCCCCCCCGCCCCCGTCCTCCGACACAGTGTCCCACTGTTCAGATTTTGTTCGGGTGGACAGAGGACACTCTCAGGCTGACTCTCAGGATGGCTGCTGCGTCACCTCAGACCTTCATCATCTTCATCACGGCTCTCTTCGTCCTGTCAGGTGAGACGTAAACGCTGTGACATCACTGATGATGTCATAGCGGGTGCTCGGGGCGGTTTGTTTGTCCTCATGCAGTGTGACTTTCAACAGGAAGTAGATTTATTTTACCGTCTTTTCTGTCAAACACAAAGTTTCTTTGTGTCTCAGAGCAGGAAGGTCTGCGTCTCATGAGCTTCTTTTAATTTGGTAGTTTTTTCTTTTATGTTTTTAACGTCTCTGAATTAGTTTTATTTTGTTAGTTTATCTTTCTTTTATTTTGTTAATATCTCTGAGTTTTTTTAATCTTGGTAGTTTTTCTCTCTTTGATTTTAACGTGTCTGAAGCTCGTTTATTTTATTAGTTTTTGTTTCTTTTCCGTTCGTTCAAGCTTTATTTCTGCAGGTGAGTCTCATTGAGCCTCGAGACTCGTTCACAGAGAGCCCTGCTGTAACAGAGCGTCATGACAACGGTCATGAAGGATGCTACTAGTTATTACTTTTAACGACTTAAAATAGCAACCAAAGGAAAAGGGCTGAAAAACATCTGGATTATAAGGTATAAAACTGAAAACAGGAACATGTCTGTGCTGGTTTTTGCAGGAGCGTGGAAGTTTCTTTTCATTTCATTTGTTAACGTCTCTAAAGTTGTTTTATTTTGGCAGTTTGTTTCTTTTATTTTGTTATCGCTGAGGTCGTTTTAATTTGGTAGTGCAGTATGTGTCTCACAGCTCTGCTTGACTTCCTGGATGACTAACATAAATCCAGTGAGCTTCTGGGATGTCCCCTGTCTCTGTGTCCTCGGGGGTTCTGTTTGGCCCGGTTCTGTAGAGTTATGATAACAGTGCAGCGCATCAGGCAGCAGGTTCTGCCCGCCTGGCTCACAGAGATACTCTGAGTTTGTGCCTGGATTGAGACGTTTCATTGTCTTTTCAGATACGTACAAGTACATATTGAATTGAAAGTGTTCTCCAGAACTCAAAAAGCGTTCAGTACAAAAACAACTGGACTTTATTTGTAACAGAAGACGTTTCGCTCCTCTGTTCTCCAGAATGACAAGATGGAGTTGCTGGACTCGTGCACGACACCAGACCGCAGGAACGGTTAAAATGATTTATTGAAATATTGGAGGTCTGGGTCCAATCTGTGGAGACAGTGAGATTAGTAAACTTTGCTTTATTGTGAAGGCTCGGGGTTTATGGTGGCAGTCACTAACCTTCACGGTAGGCTAAGGAAGGGACTCCTTCAGAGAGCTGGTGAGAAGACTGCCCTCCCAGTCCACCAGGATGTGCAGGCCCCAACCCAACCATCTGGAGCGGAGCAGCCTCCTGACGGTGTAGGCTGGGGACCCATCAATCAGTCGGGTGAGGGGAGGGAGACTGCAGGAGGGTTCAAACCATGAAGACAAGAGGTTTTAGGTGTGACACATGGAATGTGGGGTGTACCTTGAGGGAATGAGGTAACTGAAGGCGGACCGCCACAGGGTTAATAATCTTGGAAATGGGGAATGGCCCCACAAAAAGAGATGCTAGTTTGCCTGATTCCACCCGGAGAGGAAGGTCTTTTGTGGACAGCCAGACCTTCTGGCCCACCTGCTATGAAGGGTTCTGAAACCGTTGCCGATTAGCCCCCCGGACGTAGAGGGCAGAGGTCTTGATGAGGGCCTTCCTGGCTCTCCTCCAGGTACGTTGGCATCTCAGAGCCGCTCTGTGGGCCGATGGGACCTGAGCCTCTTAGCCTGAATGGAGAACAAAGACAAAGTTCCCTCTAGTTTTTCATGTGTCTGGGCAAACACACCGAGGACCACTGTGAGCAACATCAGATGTGCACGCTGTGGTCACACACCAGTGTCACACCAGTTCAAAACCTTGGATCACATCAGGTTACATGGATTATTAAAAGAATCAAATTACAGCAGCAACTTCCAGTAGTTTACTTTAATAGAAGTGATTTGAACCACTTCACATGACAAAGACAATCATCTTGTTGTTCGTGACGTGTTTAGTATGTTGTATGTGAGGGTCCTGCTCTGGAAGATGGTCAGAGATTCATGATCTAACAGGCTCAGGGTAGAAGCTGTTCCTCAGTCTAGTGGTTCTGCACTTAATGCTCCTCAACCTCCTTCCTGAGGGGAGCGGGGCAACAAGTGTGTGTGCTGGGTGAGTGTGGTCCTTCATGATGCAGGTGGCCCTCTTCCTGCATCTGGAGGTGTCTGTGATGGTGGGGAGGCTGACTCCAACATGTTCTGTGCAGCCTGTGAAGCTCACGGTGTGTAGTGATGCATTTCTGCCTTGTCAGCCACATTAAGGCAAAGAAGACAGAAAACATAAAAAATAAAAAATTCTAATCTCCTACAAACCTCTAGTAGTTCCTGCAGTGGATGTTTTCATGCTGCAGATCAGCACAGGGCCAGAACTCTCAGTGACATTCAGTCTGTAAGAACACGTTTTGCATTACACAACCTATTGAACACTTTGTACAAAATCAGTTTAGTTTATATCAGGACTAAATGTATGCAACACATTGTTCACACAGAACAAAACACAACTAGTTTTAAGCATTAACCTTAAAATCAACCATGAAGTGTCCAACGCACAACAAATAATGGAGGATTGACCTGCAGTTACCTCCGTGCAGGTGAACATGTGCTACTTCCTGTTTATAACTGGGGGTTGTCCGCTGGCCTTTACCGTCTTTTACATTTTCCAAACTTTGTTAAGTTTTTGAAATGGAATAAACCGTATCACCCTCTAAATTCTCAGCGTGTCTGAATTACAAGTCACATTTCCCTCTCTTCATTTTCACTAATTGATTCTTTGTGTGTTCATACAACAACAAACATGTTTTTAATCTCAACGGGACTTTACCTGGTAAAATAAAGGTTAAATAAAACAATACAAGGATTTTAATGTTCAGATCATTTATTTGTAGAATTTATGCAAAGTACACAAAATCTGAATTCCTGGACATTTCAGCATTAAACTTTTTTCAGACCCTGTTTGTTAACCATATTCTAAAATGTGTAATATTCTTTGTAAAAACTTAAAACATCGTTGTATCAAGTTTTGTCCCACTTAGGTCCTCAAGTGGAACTAAGCTCAGTGAGCTAGCTGTGCTGCCAGGCTGCAGACTTTCTGTCTGCAAAGTTCAGTTTTCAACTTCTGTTCTTCACCAACGTACGGTGAGACCTTTCTTCTTGAATATAAAGGTCCAGGGAGCCCAGCCTGGATCAGGTCCAGTCCCAGCACCTCGTTCACCGTCAGCTTGTTGACTTGGTTGCCAGGCTCTGCGTCCTCTGCTGTCAAAACCTGTGTCCATGTCCTCAAGACTGTTTCGCTGCTACTGGACGACTGCAGACAGGTGTTTTCAACACAGCCACATTCTGGTGTCACATCTGGATTCTATGGTCAACGTACACATGTAACATCTACCACAACGTCAACTGAGAACAGGTCAGCGATACAAACACCACCTGGAGACTTCTGTGCATCACTCATAGGTTGTTGTGCTGGAGCCTGAAGACAGGATCAACCTGACAGCTGGCTGGAAAAAGAAAAGTGAACAATACTAATCAGAAATCTATAAACGAGGAGCTTAACCCGATCTGCATTTGCTCCAACAGTTATCACCCAAATAAGTGAAAACAGAATGAAAGGCAAAACAGAAGAAAAAAAAGACTCAACTTCTGTCAGCTGGGAACAACTCCCTGCTCATCTCTATCCTGGCTGAGTCGTGCCAGATTGATTAAATGCAACAACTTCCTGCCATACACCAAGTTTTAGCCCCTCCAAAGTAAACTGACAATAAACAGGTGACAACAAGGTGCAGTAACTCTGCACCACGAGTTCTGCTCCTCTATTTGTTGCCTTATTGTGCAAAGATGGAGATGGTTCAAGACACATGTGACAAGATACATATGAAGTATAAGAATAATATATATGAAGTGTTAGAATAATATATATGAAATATTATAATAATATATATGAAATATTAGAATAATATATATGAAGTATTAGAATAATATATATGAAGTATAAGAAGAATATATATGAAGTATTAGAATAATATATATGAAATATTAGAATAATATATATGAAGTATTAGAATAATATATATGAAGTGTTAGAATAATATATATGAAATATTAGAATAATATATATGAAGTGTTAGAATAATATATATGAAGTATTAGAATAATATATATGAAATATTAGCATAATATATATGAAGTGTTAGAATAATATATATGAAGTATTATAATAATATATATGAAATATTATAATAATATATATGAAATATTAGAATAATATATATGAAGTGTTAGAATAATATATATGAAGTATTAGAATAATATATATGAAGTATTAGAATAATATATATGAAGTATTATAATAATATATATGAAGTATTATAATAATATATATGAAGTGTTAGAATAATATATATGAAGTATTAGAATAATATATATGAAGTATTAGAATAATATATATGAAATATTAGAATAATATATATGAAATATTAGAATAATATATATGAAGTATTAGAATAATATATATGAAGTAT